TACCTGTCGCTGATGTGGTTGATGATTTGGCGCCTCGTCAGCCATCCGTCAAATAAGTTGACGGAGTTATTAACACCGCCAAAGATTCTAACGGAAATGGCTATATCTGGCACACAACACCTTTCAAAAGTGGCTATTAGTGGTATTTCGCCAAATGTGGCTATAAGTGGCACAAAGGTGAAAGTTTTGGCTATGCAAGTGTATTTTGCCTATTTTTTCTGTGGTGTTCAACAAGTAGTCTTTGCAGGTGATGCACATGTGGTATTTGAGAAGATGGAAGAGGGCATGCAACATGATGCGAGTGGAGGAGCCATACTAGAGGTAATCAAATTGTTGCGATGGTGTTTTCTCTATTTTGGTTTTCGTTTCTTTCGATGTCAAGGTAATAGGGCGTCCATCTGGTGGCTAGAAAAGCCTTCCATTGTACCCTAGTTTGATAGGGTTTGATTTTTATTCTTGACTAATACGAGTAACTTCTATTCCTCGGTAATACAAGTAATCTTTAAAAAAAGGTTAAATACACTTGTATATCCAAAACTTTCACGGTTGTGCCAATAATATCCAAATTTCCCGAAATACCACTTATATCCAATTCCTTCACATTCTGTAACGGTGTTTTTGGATATACAAGTGTATTTAACCAAAAATATATTGGGAAATGGATAGATTTGGCAAAGAACAACTTTAAAACATGGATATAAGTGGTAATCCGGGAAATTTGGATATTATTGGCACAACCGTGAAAGTTTTGGATAAACAAGTGTATTAAACCTTAAAAAAACCAAAAGAGTAACATACACTTTTCTTTCTCCCTTCTCTCTCTAAATTAAAAAAGTTAACATATTTGTATAGCCCGAATTTTTCACATATTAAATATCCTGGTCAGTCTTTTCGCTCTAGAACCTCGTGGCCTCAACTATGCATCAAAGTTAACAAATTAGCCAAACCCGAGATTTGACCGTTATCTTGGACGGTCAAACTTGTTGACTAACGGTAACCCGCCATGTCACCGCCAATCAATAAATAAACTTAAATAATTCACCAATTCCACATATTCTATAATTTTGAATTATTATAATTAAATTGAATATTAAAAACAAAATTATAAAACAATAAAAGAAAAAAAATTAAAAAATGATTGGAAGTAGGAATTTTTAAAAAAATAAAAATAAAATTTTTAAATTTTCAGTTTGATTATAATAATTCACAATTATAGAATATGTGGAATTGAGGAATTTGTTAAGTTTATTTATGCTTATTGAGCGGTGACGTGACGAGTTGACCGTTAGTCAACACGTTTGATCGTTCAAGATAACGGTCAAATCTCATATTTGACCAATTTCGTAACTTTGATGCATAGTTGAGGTCAGGAAGTTATAGATCGAAAAGATTGGCCAGAATGTTTAATATTTGAAAAGTTCAGGGTCATACAAATATATTAACCCTTAAAAATCATTTGGATGAGTTAATTGTCAATGTGGTATTTGTAGTCAAATAACTCATTTATTGTTCATGTGGTATTTCAGTGGTAATTGAAATAAAGTATCTCGTTTGGTAGAACAATGCAAATATGGTATTTGACATGTGGTATTCGGAAAAAACTGAGTGGTAAAACGAGTTATTTCGAAATAACACGGGGTATGAGTTATTTCAAATAATTTGTTTTGAATTATTTGTAAATAACTCACTGCCCAAATAACTCATTTCAGTAAAATTATGTCAAACGAGTTATTTGTGTTCGAATAACTCATTATGAGTTATTTGAACCGAAATAACTCACAAATACTCCATACAAATACTCCATCCAAACTAGTAATTTTGTCCCTCTTCTTAGGGATGGCACTAACACCATTTGGTAACCCGCTATAATTTATTTCCTCTATGCTCTCTGTTTTCTTTACTTTTGCTTAAAGATTTTCTCTACTTTTCTCACAATTTTTTATTTTTTCTCGCCCTTTGTGGCTCTTTCCTATCCCTGAGTAGAATCCTTCTACATGCCTTTCTTTAGCTGATGGTCGTTTGGAACAATACTTTCTATCAAAATACTTTCTATCAAAATCTCTTCACCTCGGAGAACCAGGTGTTGAACATGACTGATCGAGTGGCTAGCCTCCCCATTGCTCATAGTGTTACACCGAAAATGAACACCAATTTTATGGCGGAGGTCCTGCCTAGCGAGGTTAGGAGAATGGTCTTATCAATGGGATCAAAACATGCTCCGGGATCAGATGGATTCACGGGTAAATTCTTCAAATCCTTTTGGGATATTGTTGGCAATTTGGTGATTGAAGCGGTGTGCTCGTTCTTCAGAACAAATAGGATGTCCGAAGCTTTAATCACACGTGGATGACCTTAATACCTAAGGTAGATAATGTGGAGACCATGAAAGAACTTCATCCAATCAGCTTATGCCAGTTTGTGTATAAGATCATTACTAAAATCATGGCTGAAAGGCTGGCTGGTCTCCTACCTCAGATCATCTCGGCAGGGCAGAACGCTTTCATCCGGGAGAGGCAAATAGTCGATAATATTCTTCTTGTACATGAGTTAATGAACTATTTGAAATCAAAACTCGTGGTAAGAAAGGATACATGGCTCTGAAGGTTGACATGGAAAAGGCCTATGATAGAGTCAAATGGTCATTTCTGCTAGTAGTTTTGGAGAAAATGGGTTTCAACTCTGCCTGGAGAGATTGGATACATGAATGCCTCCGATCAACATATTTTTCAATCCTTATGAATGGCACCCCTTCAGGCTTCTTCTCCCCTAGTAGGGGGCTCCGACAAGGGGACCCTCTTTCTCCTCTCTTGTTTGTTATATGTACAGAGGGATTTGCGGCCCTCCTTAGTAAAGCAATCACGGAAGGAAAACTTGAAGGAGTGAAAGTAACCCCTTGCGCTCCTCGAATCTCTCATTTGTTTTTTTGCAGATGATTCTTATTTATTCCTACGTGGCTCCCTTCAGTAATGTGAGAATTTGATTGAGGTGTTAAATGAATATGAGGAACAGAGTGACCAACGGGTGAACTTGGCGAAATCGACAGTATGCTTTAGCAAGAACATTGCTCTGCCGGACCAAGAGTTTCTGGCTCAGATCCTGTGTGTTGGGGCAGTAAGGGTACATGATAAGTATGTAGGTCTCCCTACTCTGATAGCACGCTCAAAAATGGCCACGTTCCGCTATTTAGAGGAAAAGCTTTTTGACCGACTTCAAGGTTGGAAACAAATGACTTTGTCTTGGGATGCTAAAGAAACTCTGATTAAATCAATCGCTTTTGTCTTGCCGTTGCACACTATCTCCTATTTCAAACTACCTCTTTCTCTACGTCGTCTTTTGGACAAACAAGTGGCCAAATTTTGGTGGGGCGTGGAGGAGGGCCAGCAAAGGTTTCGATGGATATCGTGGCGTCATATGTGTCAGAGTAAGCATGATGGAGGTACGGGGTTTAGATAGTTTGAGCATTTCAACCAATCTCTCTTAGACAAAATTGGCTGGCGCATTTTTAATGAACCACATTCTCTGTTAGCCCAAGTGTACAAAGGCAAGTACTTTCCTTCGGGGACCTTCCTATCTGCTAAAGCTCGCTCTCGACCTTCATGGGGTTGGCAGAGTATCCTCTATGGCCGGCAGTTATTGGAGTTAGGATTGAGATAGAAAATTGATAATGGCCAGATCGCTTCTCTCCTACATTCCAACTGCCCCCGCTGCATCCCGATATTCTGATTTATAATCCCCAGGTACTGACTGCGGGGAGCGACCTCGGGTAGCTGAGGTTATTTGTCCAGGGGAGGGGGGTGCGACCTGAAACTTAGTTAGTGGTTTGACCCGCCCACTTGTGAGGCTATCAAAACTATTCCCCTTCCTAGACAGAATGTTGAGGATAAGCTGATATGGCATGCTACAACCGAGTGGATTTTCACTGTTAAATTGGCCTACCATTTTGCAGTCCTTTTGGATAAGAAAAGGGGGTGTTGACGATCCACGGCGAGCTGGATGGATAGGCCAGTTGGATTCATTTATGGGAGGCGAATATCCCACCCAAGTTGAAAGTATTTGTCTGACAAAGTTTTAACCGCATGCTGTCAACTACGGAAGCGTTAATCAGGAAGAAGGTTCTTGTGCTTCCCAAGTGTCCGGTCTGCTGGGCCGATAAAGAAACTATAGAGCATTTGTCTTTGACTGTCCGGTAGCACGGGCCCTTTGGGACTATTCGGGATTGGAATATCTTGGGCAAGGATTGCCTCGTGATACCTTCCCACTTTTCCTCAAAAAGTTGATATCAATCATTCATCAACCGTCACTGTTCATGAGAGTTGTCGTAGTTCTTTGGAGAATCTGGCGGTCTCGAAACATAGTGGTCTTTAAGGGTAAATAGTTTGAGATCCTTGCCTTGATGCAGCAGTTGAACTAGCAATATGAGGAGTGGGTAAGCTTACCGATGGATCAAGTTTCCGAGCCGCTCATGCCTCCGACGCAGCAGTTGAGTCCGACCGTGTCTAATTTTGCTGTTTGTATGTGGGATGGAGCGACTAGGATGGGATCCCATTCGGCAGGTGGGATGGTTATTATGAACCAAGCTCGGGAAATTCTTCTTGCTCATGGGGTGCAGTTCATGGTGATTGATGATCCCATGGTGGTGAAATTACTTGTTCTCCATGAGGCGATTTTATGGTTTCTAAATCATGGTTTCAAAGGAAATAAGGTTCGAAGGAGATGTGAAAGTGATCATTGATGAGATCATTCAGGTGGATACCAGCGATAGTCGGATGGGAGCTATTCTTAAATAAATTGTGCACTACTTTGCCATCCATACGGGGTTTAGTGTTCGATTTGTTGGTCAGCGTACCAATAGGGTAGCTCATTTGATGGCTTGAAAGGCCCTTTCTTTGTACCCGACTACGAGTCGTTTTTATTTTTATTTTCAGGTCTGCCTGAATTCCAGGATGTAAGTATCTGTGTTTTTGGAATAATACATGATTATATTTTGTAAAAAAAAAAAAAGTTGGTCGTTTGGAACCAATGATTTCTCTCTTGGTTTGAAGTCGATCTCTATGTCGATTTGTTCATAATGTAGGTTTCTTCTTCTCCTTGGAAACTCTGCTTTGATTCCAGATAACTAATTAAAGATGGTGTGGTGTCTTCTTTTGTTGTTGTAGTGATTAAAGATGGTGATTTAGCGTATGAAGATCAATTGCCTCTTGGGTTGGCTTGGGTGTTAGTTGCTGATAGAAACACGTTTTCGTGTTCTATCCTATTTATCATTAATATTATTATTAGGATTATTATCAATATGTTTAGTAGTCTTTTATTCGTATTAGGTTTATTATTAGGTTTTTCCGGTCTTTAGCTATAAATATGTACTTTGGGGTCTTTTGTTGAATTAAGCAGAAATCAGTTAAAGAATTATCTTCCCCAAACCCTAAGCTCTCCCTATCTCCTAATTTCTCTTCTTGCCTAGTCCAAGGCTTCGGCCGATTCTTTATTCTGTTCTTCCTCTCCTAATCTCAATCCCTAATTCTGTTCGTATAAACCTTAATTCCCAAATATCAGATCCGATAGAACCTTACTTCTATCATTTGGTATCAGAGCCAATCTTCCTATTTGTTCTGCATCATGGTGACCACCAAGTCCCAAACGGCGGCGGAAAAGGCGATCAAGTCTGCACAGGAGCAAGCCGCAGCTGCGGCGGCGACGGGGCTGCCTGATAGCGCTAAGGAGACACCCGTGGGTGTTCAATCCCCGCCCAAGGCCACACATGGCCGACCACCCGTTCCTTCGCCGCGCGCACCGAGGGATGGTGAACTGGAAGACATGACCGAGAAGGAGGAAGGCCAGGCCACCCTCCGGAACCTTTTGGCCTCGATCATGGAGGAGCGACAGGAGCGCCTGGAGGAATCGCGTCAGGTGTGGCGGAAGTTGGATGAGCTCCATGAGATGTTCGTGGCGCTGCACGGCGAGCGCCAAACCCCACCGAAAGGCGCAGGCGGCGGCGAAGGGCCGAGCGGGGCGGCGGCGGTGGACCTGCCTCCGGCGAGCGGGAAGGCGACGGTGGACCTGTCGCCGGTGGTCACGAAGTTGGAGACAACACCAGCCACAGACGAAGACGCTCCTGCTATCGGGGAGGGAGTGGTGATCTCGGAGGCGAGCGAAGACATCGGGGAGCGAGGCGGATCCTCCTCGGCAGCGGTCGTGCCCAGCAGCAAAGTGGGGCAGGAAAACCACTTGTCGGAGCGTCGAACCGCGCGCGAAACACCGCGATTGGCGGGGGCTTCCGTCACGCTGCAGAAGATGGTCTTCGAGGCTTTGAGATCGCCTTCCGCCCGCCAGGGTGGTCGTTTGAAGCCGGAGGACGAGCTGGAGAAGTTGCCGCCGAAAGCGGTGTGGAGCTCGCTCCCTCTCTGTCGGGTGAGTGCTCCGCCGACGAAGAAGGGGAGGACGACGACGACAGTCGTCGTGGAGGCCTTGTGCGAAGTCAAGGCAAGGAAGGAGCCACTGGAGCCCTAGAAGAAGTGGGAGTCGCTGGCATCGGAAACTCAGGGGATGCCGCGATGTTCAGCAGCATCCTTCGAGATGCCGACGAAGCTGGTGACCCGCACGACACCGCGGGAGATGCGGATGACAGAAGACGAGCGATTGGCGGCGACTCCGGAGGCAGGTAGCATTGCCGAATCGGCGGCCACTCCAGCCACAACACTGATGGACGACACCCCGACCGTGATCTTGAGTGCCGGAGATCCGAGATCGCTGCTCAGGCACCGGTGGGTCTGCACCGTGCGGAGAGAGAAGACGAAGAGTGAAGGAGGCGGCGGCATCGCTTCCCTCCACACAACGCCTAGGGCGGCTCCCTGGTCTCGGTCCGAGCTGTAAGGCGGAGTTCGTATGGGCTTAGGCCGAGCGGCCCAGGAGGAGAATGAGAGTGGTTTGTGGAGGCCCGTTGAAAATGATGAGCGGATTGAAGCTAGAAGTGGAGTAGGCCGAGCAGGTACAAAAGTTTGGGCCGAAGTGGGGAGGAAATCAGACCGAAGTCTGGCCCGGAGAGGGGAGGAGTCACTTAATGGGTCGAGACTTGTGGAAGTTGGGCCAGAAGGAGTGGGCAACTTGCTGGAGTTTGCTCTGGGCCAGGAGAGTCAGCATAGCGGGCCAAGGGACAAGCAAGGGTTGGTGTCAAATGGGCCAATTCTTAGGCCACAAATGAGCTGTCCTTTAAGGGCTCTATTGTATGGAGTGGATTTGAAAGAAAAAGACGATCAATTCGCGGACCTGGGTGATGGGTTCAAAGAAGAACCACGCTCTAATTCTTACTCTAGAAGTTTGAACAGGAAGGTGGAGAGTCAATTGGTCAGGGATGCGGTCCGAGTCACATGGTTGGAGAAGAAGCAATGAGAGTAGTTGCTGGAGTGGGATTCGTTCGAGTAGTGGAGCAAAATTGGAAGAAAAGGAAGCGTAAGAAATGGAGAAGTGGAGCGCAGTTTGTGCGAGAAGAAAGGGAAGAGTGAGTCGAGTTGATCAACCTTGAGGACAAGGTTGGTCTCAAGGGGGAGGAGATGATAGAAACACGTTTTCGTGTTCTATCCTATTTATCATTAATATTATTATTAGGATTATTATTAATAAGTTTAGTAGTCTTTTATTCGTATTAGGTTTATTATTAGGTTTTTCCGGTCTTTAGCTATAAATATGTACTTTGGGGTCTTTTGTTGAATTAAGCAGAAATCAGTTAAAGAATTATCTTCCCCAAACCCTAAGCTCTCCCTATCTCCTAATTTCTCTTCTTGCCTAGTCCAAGGCTTCGGCCGATTCTTTATTCTGTTCTTCCTCTCCTAATCTCAATCTTTAATTCTATTCGTATAAACCCTAATTCCCAAATATTAGATCCGATAGAACCTTACTTCTATCAGTTGCTGCAAAATCTGGATATTGTGTATGTTTGTGAGTTGTGGCTTTGTGTGCTTTGGGTTGTGACTTGTGAGCTTTCACATCTATGATATCTTTTCTTTAACCTTCATTGGACCTGACTCATTTGTATTAATCCACTTGACAGAAGAAATGGTTGGCGAGAGGTAAGTTGACTTTGCTACCCTCCCATTTTGTTCTCGTTCCAATTCTTCTGTCAAAACTAATCTTTTCTTCGGCAAATGCATACTCAAAATGATCAATCGTCCACCATTTCATACCATTCATCCACCACCTGCAAACAAACTTCCTATCTTCCAAGTTCAACAACCATAGCTTGTTCTGATCTCTACAACTTCCAAAAAACCTCACAAAACCAAAATAAAAGGTGGGAGGACGAAATCCCTAATCACGATTGATCTCAAACAGCCCTTGTCAAGAAGAGATAGCCAGCGTTGCTCATCATGCAGCAGCTCCCTCTTTGAGAAGCATCTGGTTGAAGTGCCATACACCTGTTCATCAACAAAAACCCGCCAGAAAGTGAGTTCAATGTACCAATATGTCTATGGGGAATTATAGAAAGCAATGACGAAGATGTTTGTTAGGAAGCATACCATGTCCCTTCCCAATCCTCCTCAGTTGGGCAACATACTCCGAGATCTGCTTGATCGACTCAACCTACAAAGAACAAAGAGTACATAAGTTCAAGAATCAATGCCGGAAGCCAAATAAAAATAGTTTGCCAGTGTGTTAAAAGAGTGTCATACCTGCTCAGCCAAGAACTCGCCTTCAACAAAATCAGTCAGTTGCACATCATTTGAACTTTCAGCAACCTGTTGCAATAAGAAAATGTTGAATCCAAAGTTCTCAACCCTACATCATTTAGGCTTAACGTATCCGTTCTAATAAGGATATGGTAACAGCAAACAAGACATATAGGACAGTGGAATAAAAAGGATTGCGAGTTCTCTTACGCTGTGCAAATTCAGGAGCTTCTCGTTTGTTAGTTTCTCCAGAGACAGGGCAAGTTCCATTGCTGCATTACAGAAAAGAAGATTAAAAACACAATGAGTTCATACATTCCAGCCAGCTCACGGTAACTGGTTACAGCTACAGTGATGCGAAGTTCATTTCTTTCACACCTAAACCACTAGTTATATGTTCAAAAGTTTTCAACTTTTCTCCACAATTCTAAGGAATCAAAGCATAAATTGAACAGCTTCTTCACACTTGAACCCAAGGTTGAAATAAACAACGAGGAAAGTACCATAAAGAGCATCGCCTTTCTCAGCATGGTCGAACTCGGAGAGGGGCATCAAAATGGATTGCAGCTTCACTTTCCCACCACGTTTGTTCTACACAAAACCAAGCAAGAACAAAATGAAACGTACATCCACATACGCTATGTATGCAAAACAAGCAGGCCCATCAGGATAATGGAATACAGGAAACTCAAGAGTACCTGGTACTCCATCAATTTCTCAGCATGTTCCCTTTCCTCTTCACTTGATTCCTTGAAGAACCTGTCCAAATCAAGGTTAGCCAAGGATTCATCTAGCAACGGAATGAAAAGATAACTTAATAGAGACAGAGTAGATTTGGAAAAAGGGGGAAAGATTTGTACTTGGCCAAGCCCTTGAGAGCGACATTGTCTCTGTCAAAATAGGCATACATGGCATGGTAGACATAGGAGACGTTGTATTCCACACTGTCAATACGAAAGTGACATGGAGCAAATAAATCATTAGTCATAAATAACAGAGTACTATCTCCATAGCCCACCAAATAACAGAGTCTGATCTCCACAACCCACAAAATAGACTGCCTAAATATGATCGATTTTTACCTTCATAAATCGTTAGATCTACATGTTAGATAGTCATCTAGAAGACTAGAAATGAAAGCTATAAAGCAAGACGACAGAGTTAAGGGCCATGAAGGCAGCCCCAGCCCCCAGCTAATGAAAATCTCATAATCGCCACAATCATCCATTCAATTAACCAATTACAACAAGAACACACTCTGCAGGGCTAAAATCGCCAGCGTGAAAAAACAAAGCAGGTACTTTTCACAAACACCTCAAAGGCTACCAAACAAGAACATACAATAAAATGAATCGACAAAACGAAAAGACTGGGTACAGAAAGGGGGAAAATTGAAAGAAAATGAGTTATACTTGATCTGTTCGTTGATTGCAGCCTCGCACGCATCAACAAACTTGTGCCTCGCCAGAGAGGCGTTCGGAGATGTCGGCACTAGATCGAGCTCTTTTTTCACCTCTTCGAAGGGCTGAAATACGACCCCTGTCAGAGGTTTGTCGTTCGCCGCTCTGCAGACCACCGACGACGGCGCGGAACCAGTAGGCTTCAGGCGGAGAACAGACGGCGGGGCGGCAGAAACAGAGGGAAACAGACTGTTGTCCCCGCCACGAGAGGCCAGGATGGAGGAAAAGGCCGGAGAAATCTTGAGCGCCATAGCTTCGCGTGAAAACGGATGTGCTAGAAGGAAGACGGACTGTGATTTTCTGTGAGAAAATGGTGAGAGGTAAAGGTTGGAGAGGCGGAGAGGATTGGTTGTGTGGCAGAGAAGACGGGGAGAAAGCGAAGATATATAGAGGTATGGATTGGGCCGTTGAATAATTGGACAGGTGGACGGTAGGGATTGAGTATTGGTGGTGGAGCGTGTGGCATGCTCGTGTCCAGCAGATATCTCGAAACGGCGGGTTTTGGGAGTGTGGCTTTCGCGTGCCCTAGTGGCCTTTTTTGTCTCTTTCTGTTTTGTTTTGTTTTTTTTATTATTTATTTAATCATATTTTTTTACCGATTCTTTTTATCACTTTCTCCTTTTAACATAGGGATGGCAATGGGTCGGGTCGGGGACGGATAGTGCATATCCGTTACCCTACCCAAAGTAGTTCGGGTTTTACTCATACCCATACCCACATGTGAAACGAGTAGAAAATTAAAATCATGCCCATACCCGTTCGGGTTTCGGGTATCCACGGTTATCAATGGGTAATGATTTCTCTTCATAACTCCAACCAATATGTTAACATTCACACGTATTCTCACATTAATTAAGAGGAAAAGTATGACAATAATTCACTAGAATGAAGAAAATTAATTAAAACATCACAATTTCATGAAAATATTATATTTATATGCTAAATATAAAATATGTTAGAGAAATATAATGATTATTTATTGACAAAATACATATGTATGTGTATAATCGGGCGGGTTTGGGTTGGATAGTGAAAACCCCATGCCCACCCATTACCCGCAATATTCGGGTTCGGGTTTTACCCGTACCCACTAAATGTCCTTCGGTTCGGGTTTTGCCCTACCCGTTTAGGCCGAGTTCGGGCGAATATCCACAGTTACGGATATTTTTGCCATCCCTATTTTAACAGCGGAAGTAAAAAGTGAGATCCCTAGAATTCAAAAGCGGAAGGTGAGAGATTCTGATGCGAATGTGGAGATCACATGCGATCCTTAGTCCTTACTGTTAACGTAAAACATACTATAATCGACTCTTTATTTTGATGACAAGTAATTCAAAACACCTAGTTTTATTATGGGTGAATAGCATTTTGTACCCTCTGCTTTGGTAATTAACAAATGTACTCCTCTACTAAATTTTTGCACAAACATACCATTCTAATGTTAAATCGTAACAAGTTTACCCATCCATCTAGTTATCCGTTAAGTGACCATTAAATGGGCTGGGAATGACCCAATTGCCCCTCATTTAGTCTTAATTTCAATTTGAATTATTTTGTTATTTATGTCCAAGATCAATTAATTAAAAAAAAAACCCTAGTCTCCTTTAAGTCTCCCCTGCGGCCTGCTCCCACATCTCCTCGGCTCGTCAGCAGCGCCTGCTCCCGCATCTCCTCGTTGGCGGTAGGGATGGCAATGGAGCGGGTTTGGGGCGGGTTTGCCTAAACCATCCCCATCTTCAAATACCCAAACCCATACCCGCCCCATACCCATGCGGGGGAATGTTTTGCAAACCCATCCCCATACCCGTGGGTTTCGGGTACCCATGGGTAATACCCATCCCCGTACATCCAACATTATTATACCTAAAACTTACAAGAAAAGTTTTAATTATAACCATAAACAAACCTATTATATCACGAAGTCAACAAAACACGGTCATTTTCTAAATACGATTCAAAGAATATGATCCTAAAACATCCATTAATACATAATATAGACTATAATATTTTTTAAATTATTATGCTCTAACTCTTGATACATTTACTAAGTAATAATTAACTAACATAATTTTGTTGACAAGGGGGAAAGTGAAAGAGTGGAAGGAGAATTGAGGGAAATGAATTAGGTTTTGATTAAGGTGGTTACTCAATTGCATTTCTACTATTTATTTTCTCGAGTTATCATCATCATCATTGATAGATTACAATTTAATCCACGTATTTTTTTATATGTGAAGAAATTCTCTTTGTGGGGCGGGTATGGGTATGGGTATGGGGCGGGGGAGGCTAAAACCATACCCGCCCCATACCCATCAAACCTTTTGCGGGTTTTACCCATACCCGCCCCATACCCGGTCAAAGCGGGGATTCCCCGCGTTGACTGGGTATGGGGCGGTCGGGTACCCGCGGCCATGGGTTTGATTGTCATCCCTAGTTGGCGGCGGCTGGAATAGAGAGTAAAGAGAATATGGTCTCGTCTCATCAAATGGTAATTATTTATTATTATTATTATTATTATTATTATTATTATTATTATTATTATTATTATTATTATTATTATTATTATCATCAACTAATTGGGAATGCTTACTAGGCCATAGGTGTAATTTGGGATACAACTGAGTCTGTTTGGTACTTTGGTTAGCTTCCCTTCCATAACCCACGCAGACCCCTTCGTTTTGGATCCCTGACTATTAATTGTCAACTAGTGATGATGATGTCAGGGGTGGCATCACCTCCTTTCTTATTTTGTGTTTGGATGGTTCTATGTGATGGAGCAATTTGTCCCAATTGCTTCAAAATGAGACAATTGAATTTAATTACCCGTTTGGCCACAAAAAAGATGAATGAGTCAATTATACATGAGAGAATGTACATTGCTTCATTTTGGGTCATTTCACATTACCTTGTGGGGAGGTAGGTTTTCTCAATTGGCTCATTTTTGTGTGGGCTTATGCCAAAGCTACCTTTTTCTTTTTAAATGGCTAAATTACACGTTTGGTCACTCAAATTATACAAATCTTTCACGTTTGCCACCCGAATTACTTTTCTTTCTTATTCGCCACTAACTTTACGAATCGTTTCACGGTTGGTCACCGGCCGTTACACTCCGTTAAGTTTGTCCTACGTGGCAGTCAACTATAAAGTTTGACCGTTAACTAGATGACGTGGAAATTAAAAAAAAATTAAAAAAAAATATAACTTTCTTTCCATCTCATCATTGCACTTATTTTGTCTATATAATTTATCATATTAATAATTTAATAAAATTTAATAAGTTATAAAAATGGGCAAATCCAAATGCTCATCATCCTCACCCTCACCATCCACTCCATTGTTCAATCACCAGACTATCTCCAACATCAAGTCCAAAGGCGTCCGCCCCGACCTCATCGGCTCCTTCGTCGCTCACTACGCCTCCAAGTGGCTCCCGGAGCTCTCCCTCTCCTCCTCCTCCTCCGTCGACAACAGCGTCCCTGCCGCCGCCGCGGCCGGCTCGGAAGAGAGCATGACCAAACCAAGATGATGTTGATGACGACTTTAGTGCCTTAATGGAATGCGTATGATCGGCTCGGAAGAGGCCATAGTAAAGGCGTATGATAATTTAGTCTCAGTCCATTTGGTTGCAGCTGTTGCAGTGTCTACATGGTCTTTTAGTGCCTTAATGGAATGCGTGGGTCTACTGGAACCTGGGTAGCCAGAGCCATATTGTGACGATGATGATGTTGATGACGATTTTTTGGCGACTACAATGCTTCTGGATGAAGTGAATTGAGAGTGGGATGATCCATGTTCGGAGCTGCTTCCTGCAGTGAGTCCAATGACTGCAGTGGTGGCCATCATATGGCTTCTTCCCCAGCACCCTCAATAACCATTACAAGTTTTCTTCCCCAACATGAAATTTGGCGGTGGAAACTAAAAACCCTTTGAGTTGCTTTCTATATTTATAGTTCTTCCACAGTGGGAGAAACCAAATCAGTAGGGCTCAGCAGAAATCAATGTTTTCCCCCTCCTAATTTGGTGATCAAACATAGAAAAAGAATGAACACAAGCCACTCTCCAGCTTCATATGTGTAAATAGCTTCTTCTACAATTAAGACAAACATGTTAATATTTTACACAATGGAATGGTAAACCAAAATCCAGCTCATGGGATAGCTAAATGAAAGTGAAAGAATCACAGAATAGGAGTGGTTTGTTAGTTAGCACATAGAGTTGAACTCTAATGGGCAAATATGCATATATACATGCAGCAGCTTGGAGCTTGTCTCCAATTATGTCGTCAGAACTCAAATCCCATGTTTCAAAATCTTTTAATCGTTTCATAAACGAGTGGGAAGTGATTAGAATGAGAATCAGAAGCTGGGTTTGGATTGACAAGCATACACTCAGCAAATGTTAAAGGATCAAAATGAATCGCATAGTGGCTGGTAGCAAGAGGAAGAAAGAAAGAGAGAAAGCCAAGCTGGTGCAGCAGAGATGAGTTTGAGATGTGAAATGGCAACATACCTGATGGAGAACGGAAACTGAATTTCGATCAACAGCAGCCTGAGAAGAGGAGAAGCCGGAAGAAAGGGAGATGGCGATGAGCACAGAGAGGAACAAGAACCTCTCCTTGTTTCTCGTTCTGCTACGTTCGCCTGTCAGCAAGCCTGTAACTGCTTTGTTATCATGCTCTCTTCCGAGCCGGCCGCCGCGGCGGGGACGCTGTTGTCGACATCGACGGAGGAGGAGGAGGAGGAGAGGGAGAGCTCCGGGAGCCACTTGGAGGCGTAGTGAGCGACGATGGAGCCGATGAGGTCGGGGCCGCGCCTTTGGACTTGATGCCGGAGATAGTTTGGTGATTGAACGATGGAGTGGATGGTGAGGGTGAGGATGATGAGCATTTGGATTTGCCCATTTTTGTAATTTATTAAATTTTATTAAATTATTAATATGATAAATTATATAGACAAAATAAGTGCAATGATGAGGTGGAAAGAAAATTTTATTTATTTTATTTTATTTTTAATTTCCACGTCATCTAGTTAACGGTCAAACTTTAGTTGACTGCCACGTAGGACAAACTTAACGGAGTGTAACGACCGGTGACCAACCGTGAAACGATTCTTAAAGTTAGTGGCGAATAAGAAAGAAAAGTAATTCGGGTGGCAAACGTGAAAGATTTGTATAATTTGAGTGATCAAACGTGTAATTTAGCCCTTTTTAAATCTTTTTTTTTCTTCTATTCCTCCTCCCTCTCCCTCACTCTGCTGAAAACTCCAAAACCATGGTCTCCAATTCTGGCCGATCTCCTCCGATTTCCTCTACTCGATTTTTGCGCCCTTATCGCCGCCGCCTAGTTCGCCGCCAACTGCCAGTCTTTTATCTGAAGGCAAGGTCGAGATCCAGAGCGACCTTGACTCCATCATCGCCAGGCTCAACCTCTACATCAACAATGGCGAGTTCTCGTCTGCAGCAGGATGCCGGGATCTTTCTCCCAGCGCGTCGCTGCTCGAGCCAAGTACACTAATTAGTTGACGACTCTAGATCGGGTGCCACAAGTGACGAGTCAACGAACTGGGCAATTGACTCGCACCTCCATCTTCTGCTTAAAGATGACAAAATGTCATGATAGCAATGGCTTAGGGATCGTTCTGATCCTCGTTCGATTGCTCAATTTCAACTCATGGGAGATGAGACCCAAAATTATGTTTTACAATTCGTCTATTTTTAATTGAGATTCTGATTTTATTGTTGAATCAATCTTGTTGCTTTTTCTGTATTTCATATGAATCTCTGATTGCTTGCTTTCTTCAGAAAATGCCCTCTTCTGATTGTCTCGTGTCTTTCTTGTGTTTTGATTTCAATTTATGGGGGTTATGCTCACGAGGAAAAGAGAAAGGGTGGATCAATTTCTTGGGGTTAATGATTCTAGATTGGCGTCTATGTCTGCTGTATAGAACGAATGATTTATGGGTCTGTAATTTTTAGGTCATTCTGGGTACAAAGAGTAGGAAAGGAAGGTGAAGATGAAGGGTAATACCTGAGGGCAAAAGTGTATATTCTCTAAATGTCTCATTCTAATTGACTCATCTCATATGACAAACCAAACAAGATAATCTAGGACAAATTTCTCATAAAATTGTCTCATTTTCTAAAATGAGACATTTAACTCAAATTGCCTCGTTTTAGAAATGCTCCATCCAAACGACCCCGTAGATTAACCAATTTTCTCTACTCCAGTTTCCTTCGGCGAGGAGATGCGGGAGTAGGCACTGTCGACAAGGAGATGTGGGAGGCGGCTGGCGGCAGGGGAGACTTTAGAGAGACTTATTGATTTTATTTTTTAATTAATTGATTTTGGACAAATAATAAAATAATTAAAATTATGACTAAATGAAGCACAGTTGGGTCATTTTCTCGCTCATCTAATGGTCACTTAATGGATAATTAGATGTAAGGGTAAACTTTTTACGATCTAATATTAGAAGGGTATTTTTGTGCAAAAATTTAGTAGAGGGTATGTTTGTTAATTAACCAAAGTAGAGGGTTACAAAATGCTATTAACCCTTTTATTATTGATATTGTTATTAATTATGATAATTTTTTTAAAGAGAAGTGAATTTTCATTTTACTACAAGAAGTATGATCTCATTAACACGCGCAAAACAAATGAAGATGGTCTAAAATTTATATTAATTTAGAAAATGTTTACTAGCACAGGGTCCGGCCCGTTGGTCGGAAAATTTTTATCGTCTAATATGATATATAATAATGAATATAATAGATGATTTGAAATGCATGAAATTATTGTTTTATACCTTAGTTATGCACATAACATTTTTGAAAGTAATTCAATTATGCATAATGTGTTTATACCTGCATGAAAAGATAAAAAATATAATATAAGCATTACATATAATTATTGAATGAAAAATATAACTAATTGTCATTCATTACTTAATTAAACCATATAAACCATATAGTTAAATATTAAAGTTGTTTCTCATAATACATACATAATCAACCTTTAGGATGAAACAAAATGTCTCTCATAGAGTTTAGTATGTCCTTTAAATTTTTCCCAATATAAAGCATTCTTTTTTACCACACTGTTGGTAATGAATCTGAAGTTGTTTGATTTGAAATATATAGGACATATGTTAATTTGTCGCTAATAGTTAGTTAGACAATGTGTTGTGTACATACTTGCCAAATTATTTTCAGATCGCAGACATGTCTAGCAACAATGTAGAAATTTTCATGCATCAAATATTTTTTATGAAATAATTCAATAAATAAAAACCTTTAAAACTCATATTACATAAAATATATGTTACTCATTAAGTTGATAAATGAGCGAGTGTATGAGAAGCATACATTTATTTTAAAACTATAGAAATTTTTTTTTGTTAATGGCGAAATCAATTACAATTAAAAAGATTGACAAAAACACTGACGAAAAAAAAGGAAACAAAAAGGAAAGGAAAAAAAAAAAGTTGGTGGTAGAGTATTTTATACTGAAATCATAATTTAATATTGCTAAATATCACCTATCGATTTGGCCTATGGTGAAAAGTTTTATTGTCGAACCGCCGGTACGTACGATCTTTTAATTCAAACTTTAAATAAAAAATCACTAAAATATTGACATTATCAAATACCCCTTAAACATAAGAAATTACCATAATCGTATTAAGGAAAAAATCATCAAAATTATAATATAGATATAGGATTTGAAATTGAAATGAAAAAAATTTGTCAAATATAATGTCTTCTCCTAACATAAATCAAAACTCAACCAGTGGCGGACCCAGAATTTTGGTATAGGTGTGTCGGTAGGGATGTCAATCCAACCCGTAACCATGGATACCCTACCCGACCGTAACCGGTCAACGAGGGTAATTACCCGCTTTGACGGGTTAAGGGGCGGGTATGGGTAATACCCGGTTTCAAAATAAAGGGTAGGGTACGGGTATGGTAATCGATAATACCCGCCCCGTTATACCCGCCCCGCTAACCAAAGGGTCAATTTCCCTTGAGAAAATTATTTTACCTTGAGAAATTGAGTTTAGCTACCATTATTGATGATGAAGATGTAGACGATTATTATGTTTGTGTGGATTGTAGAAGCAAGAACAATTATTATGTGTTTGCTGTTTTTATTTGTGTGGATTGTTGAAGCTATAATAGTTACAAATATTGAGAATTTTTAATGGACAACGGTATATATGTGCATATATGTGTATAAGTTCATAGTTTAGGATTCGTACCCATGGTTACCCGAATACCCGTGGTTACCCGGTGGGTAGGGTATGGTTATATAATTTTCATACCCGGTGGTTATTTGGTCGGGTATTTTAGAAAATTCTACCCGGCGGGTTAGGAGTTGGTATAGGGTAAACCCGCACCCGACCCTACCCATTGCCATCCCTATGTCGGCCAATAAATAAATATTTAATTAATTTAAAATAAATATTAAAAAAATTCATACATAAATTTCATAAATTTCATTATTTTTTACAGTTAACCACAACGAGTTTTCATATTCAGAAAAAATTCTTAATTACATTTTCTCATTAGGTTGCAAATCAAAATTTTTTTATGTACACAACTTAAAAATTATTTATAAATTGATCACTCAACTTATACCAAAGATTTTTCTCGATTAAACTCATATATGGAAAATGTCATTTTGTAGCTTGCAGTTGCAATAAGTAAAGTCAACACTAATTTAATATGAGAAAGCTGGTATGAGAAACTGGAAGGGTGGCCACATACGTCAATGTGTAAGTTTGAATGAGAATTAAGATGTAGTCAGCTCAATGCCGATAATTGGATGGTGGCCACAGGCGTCAACATAGAAAGAAATAGCTAAACTAGAATGCAAGTAGAAAGTTAACTTAAGAAGAATCCATGGAAGAAGTTATGGGGAAAGGCAGTATGAAATTCACTATCTAATTACTTGACTCAACCAGATTATTAATCAATTTAATTCTCATTCAATTTATTGAGGTTATCTTTAAAGTGATAGCTATCTTTCTGAATACTCACTACGTAGTAAGTAGTCATTAATCGTTTACTCTTGTACAACAACTAATTATCTACCTAATATGAAATCCGATAACTCCTATATTTACATATTTTAATACTATTGTCACAACAATTTTTTTGTAATGTAATAAGGTTAAGGTGTGTCGATTACAATTATTGGAGGTGTGTCGGAGGTCCCGTGTACGAATTTTTTACACCGAAAAAATGTGGATTCCTCACAAAAATTTCGGAGCAAGGTGTGTCGGGTGACACACCTTACTACAAGGTGGGTCCCCCCCTGAACTCAACAGAAGAGGGCCAACAATACGCACTAAGCAAAGCATAAGACCAATTATTTCACACTATCTCATTCCCCCCTCTTTTTAAGTGTGTTCTCTCACTCTCTCTTAGCCTTCATCTTTGTTTTCCCGTTTGTTCTTCCATTTCTCTCTCTGAGTTTTGTATCTCACCACTCTCCCACTTTCCCTTCCTCTTTCTTCCCACCGCCTAGAATCAATAGAAACCTAGAAACATACCAATAACTTCTCCAATTTTGAGTTTGAAATACTTCTTCTCCATTCACAGTCGATAGTATGAATCAAAGCACCTGAAACCTGGCGAATTGA